AATGCCGATGAGCTCGTCAATGCCATTGGCCATGTTCTCAGCCAGAGCCCTGCAGGAGGCACAGAGAGAAGGCTGCGGTGAGCAAGGAGGGCCCTGGGAGGGGCTCGGCTCTGGGGCTCGGGCCCGCTCGCTAGCCCACATCACCCCCTTGGTTAAGGGTTCTCCCTCCACTAGACAGCTGGCTCTATTATCTCTCAGCTCTGCCATGTCACGCCTGCAGCTCACAGCCCAGCTCACAGACTGGACAGTCTACTGAACCACTGGGCTCAATAATTTTCTGGACCTGTAAGGCACTTGGAGTTAGTTGGTCTAAGCTATTTAGCAAAGGCCATATTTGAGGGCTGGATCTCACTGAATTGTGCCTTGTTAATGTGCAGTTGTGGAGTATGAGGAGGCAGAGCGCAAGGAGACCCAATAGTCCTGGACGCTACCGGGACACTGTCCACCTCTGACTCACACTTGAGGACCTCGCAGAGCATCTGTTGAGAGAATGGTCTCCTGTGGGTCATAAATCCTCTGAGAGTCATGGAGTCACATTTTGCCCTGGCTACTAGGAAGCTTAAAACCCACCTAGTGGCCTGTTTCCAGCAAGTGAGTGAGGCCTACGTTTTGCCTCCTGGACTTTCTCTGGGCTTCATAAGAGTTGGTAAAATTTGTTTTCATTTGCAATTCCTAACCATTTATGTTTATGTTTATTTTTCATTTGCCGGAAGGTATGTGTGCTTGCTGAAGAAAGTGAACAAGTAATAGAAAAATTGAGAAAGCATCCCTCTGGAGAACAATCATGCCATCCTCCCTTCTCCATTCATCCCTCCTTTCAAGATTCTGGGCACACATGCATAAGACCCAGCACGTCTCTCTCTATTTTTTTTTTAAGGAGAGATTTTTACTATAGGGCACGTGCACTCACCAGAGAGACAGAGAGACAGAAACTGAGAAATCACCCCCTGGGAGGACGACCATGCCACAGTCCCCTCTTTTTCAGTCTCCTCGTGGGATTTGGGCACACACACGCACACGCACCCAGCATGTTTCTCAAGCCACCAGGTCTAGGACTTGAACAGTGTGGTCGACCATGTGGGAACCAGCCACCTTAATCACCAGATCACAATTGGGCTGATCTTTTATTTTTAAATACTGACATCCTATCTACTTATATCTATGAGCTATTTCACTTATAAATAGATACGTAAATTCAATATAAATGCAAGTTTATTGTTAGTTAATTTATCATGTCTGTTTCTGTTACATTCATGAAAACATAAACTTATGGAGAGAAGTCTTTTAAAGAAACACCTCATGGTTATATAAGGGGTTTTCAAGAAGTTTATGGAAAATGTGTATTATAAAAAATCCACACAAGGATTTCAAAATTTGTTGAAACCAAAATAAACTTTTTTTTTTTTTAAAGGTTTTTGCTATAGGGTGTATGTGCTTGCCAGAAAGACAGAGAGAGACAGAGAGATAGGAATCGAGAAATCACCCCCCCCCAGGAGGATGGCCATGCTGCAATCCCTTCTCCTCTCTCCAGTCTCCTCTTGGGATCTTGGGCACACACACACACACACACACACACACACACGCCCGACGTGAGTTTAAGCCACTGAGTCTGGGACTCGAACCACAGTCGACTGTATGGGAATCCAGTGACGTAGTAGTCATTATGCTGTTGGTCCCCCCAAATAAACTCTTATTTTAATTTCATGTTTCTACGACCTTTCTGAATCCCTTGTGTATGTTATATGTGACGTGTGGTCAGGGAGCCACAGGAGAGAACAGAGCAGAGGACCACTGAAGCCCCCTCTTTCAGGAAGCATAGCTCACATTCAGCCCCAACAGAAACCAGCTCACACCGGTGCGCAGAGGGCCCTTCTATTCAGAATGAGCTTGAATGGGGGCCGTGGATTCACCCTGGCAAAGCCCTGATCTTTACCTTGGTGCAGTTAAAGTGAGGAGAAAACAGAGAGGAAGACAACACTGGACATTTCTGCATCTCAATGGGAAGAGCTCCGAGGATTCCCACACCTTTATCTTCTGGATGTTTCTGCCCCAGTACGGAGAGACAGAACAGGGCAGGAGTGAGAGATAGCCAGCCCATAACGTGTGCCTTGACTCAGGCCTGCAAGCACCATGGAGCTATTGGGCACGTAGGGTGCTGGTGCTCCTCTCTCCCCACCTCCTCCTCCATCATGGAGTAGCCTGGGTCTTTCCTGAGCAATCCCACCTGGCCAGGTGCTCAGGAGCTTCCCATGGTGAAGGCCTTGCTGCTTTCTCACCTTCTCACCTTCAAAAGGCCCAGAGAACCTATGGGCCTTGCGTTCATTCCCTAAGTATTCACTGGGTATTCTCCCTGTGCCAGGCACTGTACTAGCTTCTGGGGATTCAGAGAGCAAAGCAAGAAGGCCGCTGCTCCTACAGAGCTCACCAGGACATGACCACTGTGACAGAAGACAACAGGGCTCACCCAAGAGAGTTCACAGAGGGCAAATAAGCTGTTTTACCCGAAAGATGCCCAACACATGAATCGTTATAGAAACTCAGATTAAAACTGCAACGAGACATCAATCACTACATATCGGCTACAGCAGCTAAACTAAAAAACAGTGACAACACCAAATGCTGGTGAGGATGTGCAGAAATGGGACCGTTCGTATATTGCTGGTTAGGATGTAAAATGGTACAGCCACCCTGGAAGATCATTTGTCAATTTCATGAAAAACTAAGTATGTCACTACCATGTGAGCCAGCATTTACCAGATACGTGAAAATTTATGTCTACAAAAAAAGCTGTACACGAACGTTCATGGCAGCTTTAGGCACAATATCAATAACTGGAAACCAGCCAGGTGTCCTTCAGTGGTGAATGGAGAAACCCCCTGCGGTGCATCCATGCCCCAACCCTACTCAGCAATGAGGAGGGAGGAGCGCTTGCTACGTGTGACAACCTGCATGGGTCTCCAGGAACTATGGTGAGTGACAAAAGCCCATCCCAATGGTACATAGGTAGCAGCCCACTTAGAGAAGGTCTCTGAGATGACGAAGTTAGAGAAGCAGGAAACAGATGAGTGCTTGCCTGGGGCTAAGGAGGGGATGTTGTCGGAGGGAAGTGCACCAGGCTATGAAAGGGCACCAGGAGGGATCCTGTGGTGGTGGAAGTGGTCTGCATTTTGACTGTTTCAATGTCAGCAACCTGGTGGCTACTGTGCTATGGCACTGCAAGGTGCTGCCACTGGGGGAAACTGAGTAAAGGGTACATGGGATGTCTCTGCTATCTCCTACAACTTCATGTGAATTGACAAGTAGGTCAAAATAGAAATTTAACGTACAAAAAGCAAGTGATAGGAAACAACCTCTGTCCAGCCACCCATCTCTACCGTCTTCTATTCTCTCTCTAGATACCGGTGGACAAGAGGAACTGCTTTCCCTGGGCTGTTCAGGAAAGAGTTCTTTCGAGAAGTGTCGTTTGAGCTGAGACTGAGCTGATGAGCAGGATCTAGACATGGGAAGATGTGGGGACAGGAGTCCAGGCCGTGGGAACAGCAAGCACTTTGATATGCCTATATTTGGGGTAGCACACCATGGTGTTAACTTGGTCTGGAGGCCAGCTTCTGTCCTGTGGCCCCATTTAGCTTGGCTTTTGTCTGCTGATGAACCATCCCACTACTGCATTTCTCAGAATGAAGAACTCAGATGGACAATGTCTACCCAGACCCCGCCCCCTCTCCGAGGGCCTGTGTAGACCTAGCTGATGGACCCTCCTACTCTAGTGTGTCCTTAAGCCAAAGGCTCAATGCGCTCTGTGGAGAGAGGTCTCTGAGGCTGTTGCCACTGCCCAGAAGAAGAGAGAAACTCCTAATAGTCCTTTCCTTTTCCTGCACTCCACGGCCTGCTGTCCACTGTAGTGGCGGGAGGGCTTAGGAAACCAGGGCAGCTGGGCTGAGGGCCAAGAAGAGGCCTGTTTGGGTCCAGGATTGGAGGGAGATCTCAAGTCTGAGCTTCATTTAGTATTAAATGCTTGAAGTCAGGTGCAATGTAACCTATGCAGTGAACAAGGGGACCCCAGAACATCTGTCCCTACCTCCTAGGGCTCCCAACTCCCTGCTTCGGACACCGAGGACCCATGAGATGGATCGGGAGGGGAGAGCAGGGCCACCCTGCACAGCACCTTCTCTCTTTAGGCCGTGTTCCAGCAACAACCTATGGGCTTCCCCATGAGGAATCAGGACTCCACCTGCCCTCAGGTTTCCTCGGTCTTCATAGGAACGGGAATTCAGCTCCTAGTGTTACCTCATGCCCATCTTACAAGAGGAGAAGTAAAGCACAAGAGCTATGACACAGGTGTTGATGACAGGCACC